TTAAAAAATATTTTTTATGGTATTTATTGTGGTTATTATCTTTTTTTTTTACTGGTAAGGATTTGTTACCGGTTGAAATTCAAGCTAATTGTGATGTTTTTTTTTCTTTTTGTAATAAACAATGTTGGAGTTATTTTGTGGTGTTTTTTTTAACAAACAATGTTGAGGTTTTGTTTGTTTTTTTACCTTAAAAATATTGTACGTGAATGTTGGAGTTTTTGCACCTTAAAATATATTGTATTTTTAATTTTTGATGGCGAAAATTTAATGGTAAAAGGGTTGTATCAGAAAAAAAAATATTTAAAAAAAAGGAAAAAAAAATAGAAAAAAAAATATTAAAAAAACTGTTATTAAAACAGTAAAAAAAAGGTTAGAAAGCTAAAATAAAAGCTGTCATTTAGAAAATATATATAAAAAAATAATAAGGTGAATAAAAGAGAAAAAAATAAGATATTTAAAATAAAATAAATAAAAAAAACTGAAAAGAAAACTAAAAAGTAAAGAAATTAAGAAAAATACCATTTTGGTAAATATTTTTGAAAAGACACTAAAATGGTAAATATTTTTTCTAACTATCCCATTATGGTTAAAAACTCCAGTAATAGTTGCCTCCTATAGCATGTAAAACGACTAGACCATCTAAGTTGGCCTCAAATAAGCAAAAAACATCAATAAATTCTTGGAAACAAAAACTGGGAATACAATAGGAGAGAAGAGTTGTGTGGTTTGAAAACCATTCGCATTTACTACCGCATGGTATTAAAGGTAGTTGTAGGGCCCCCTTGGAATAATTGTTTTAACTTTTAAGCTCAAATTCTTGATTTTTCTCCCAAAAAGTTCATCGACTAGAAAGATTTTAATTTGCACATGTATTTGCTCACATCAAATTTAATTTGGTTCTATCATATTTCAACCGACTTTTGAGTAATCAAAAAAATTTCAGCCGACCATGATAATTTCATAAATCATAATATCCATACATGTTGTCAGTGTGACATCATGAATATGAAAGAGACATCAGGATTAGGACCACTTTCGCATTTACTGCCCACCCAAAATTGCGCCTTTTTCTAACTTGTTATAGTATCCACACCATGAATTATCATCATCATCATCATCATCATGGTCATAGATTCCATATCATCACCATAGAAATTGCATGCTTTTGATTCATTTTATTCAACATTAAATATGTCCTTTATGTTTGAGTGCCCTATGTATGGAGAATGTGGATTTACTCACTAAGGCCGGAGGGAATCGTGCCACAAAAGTTGCACTCTCTTCACTGTCACGTAGACGCCACCTCACCCTTTACCACAAACGTATGGTTTCATACCACACTCAAGGAGTGGTGCTACACTTGGGTTTTTTTTTAATAAATAAAAATTTTCATTGGTTGTGTTCCAAAGGTAAGAAAGCCATCCAATCACAATTACCCAAGGAGTGCTCCGTTCCAAGGCTACAATGCACTCTCTACCGCACCCTTACCGCAATGGGGGGCGGTGTTCCTGCACACGTGGCACCAAAGTGCGGCACTGGCCGCACCCCACTCCCTCTGGTCTAACAGTAACTATCAACACTTCTAGTGGTCCAATGTGAGTTTTTACAATACGTTTTATTTATCTATTACAATAAGAAGGTTATTTAGAATACGTGCTCTTAAAATATATGTTCTTGAATTTTTTAAAGCATATGTATTCATATTATTATTATTGTTATTATTAGTTTTAAAAAGACGACCGTATTTTGGTTTTGGTTAGATTTTGTTGTCCTAAATGGAATGTCGGTTTTCTAACAGGATTTGGTACTTTATCTTTGTACCAAACCTTATCTTTGGTGTATAACGGAAATATGCTTGGTATATGTTCTTTTTGGTGAGAAATTAAATATTCTTCTATTTTTTTTTATCCATATGAAATGGTAGCAAGTGTCATATTTTGAATATATATATATATATATATATATATATATATATAATATATATATATATATATAATATATATATATATTTGTCATAATTTCAAATGGTTAGGAAGATAAATAGGAACAAAAATTGAAAGATATTTAATTTCTCTTTTTTGTTATATAAGTTTATTTTCATATGATATTAAGTTTTATTTTAGCTGACAAAAGAAATTACAAATTCAATTCACACTAAAAAAAAATACAAAAAGTGAAAGAGGAACAACTACAAAGTACAAAGTGATCAAGATATGGTAATGACTAATGACTTTCTAATGGAGTGATAACGGTCCAAATCCGAACACACGTTTACTTAGAACTTTCAATAAATAGGTTGGGTTGGTTTGGTTCAATTTTTTTTAATTGGGTTCAAGATTTCAATTCAATCTGACATTTTTATTTGACTGGGTTGATACTTTTAACCCAATCTAATCTTTTAGATAAATAAGTTTTTATTGGATTGATATGTAGGTATTTTTCAATCCAAACTATTAAATAAATTAGTTAAACCTGAATTAATTCATTTAAAATAAAATAAAAATTATCCAAACATTACATCCTTTTGGTATGAAAAAAGTATAATCCCAATTCATAAATACAAATAAACTGTTAAAGTAACCATTCAAAATGTTTATTTCGAAGTATTTTGCAGAATAATTAGTGTTGTCGGCACAAAAAAAATTATGATTGCATTTTTTAAGGGCAAATTGCAAAAAACAAAAAAAACATTTTATTACCACAAAAGTAATCACTTTTCCCGAATTGCAATAAAGTCACTAAGTTTACCAAAATTTTGATTTTGACATCTAGTT